GATCGGTCTTGCACTAAACCAGACTAGATTTTGAAACCAATCAAAGAGAAAGATTTATACCTGATACGGATACCACAAATGCAGGCCCCAAGGTGGAAGTTCACACCCAAATCAGTCATAAAACCAGCCTCCATTGAATATAGCGCAGTGTGTAGGTGAAATTGATTTAGCAACACAGTTTTCAGCAAAACTACAACCCAACTGCTTGGATCGAACTAGGGAAGGTGAGCCTGAAGTTCCTCTGAATTTTTCTTGCAAAAATCAAAAGAAAACTGATCTCTATCAGTCCTTGAAAGCCTAGATAGGTCGTGATCTCTATCAGTCCTTAAAAGCTTAGATAGGTCGTGATAGGGTTTCTTAGAAGATAAAAGAGAAGAAGAGAGAACAAGAAAGAGTGGGTTAGTCTAGTTCATCATATTTTTCTTTTATCTCCTTATGGAGCACTCTCCCAATCAAATTAGGAGATTATCCAAATCTAATTTGGATATAGACTCTATCAAGAGATAAGACTTATCCTCTGAAGAGGATGGGTGTTCCATACCCAAACCCAGATTTGACCTGTCATGTGACAACTTAAGTTGTCATGTAACAACTTACTTAATCTTATTAATTATGAGCCTTAGGCCCATTTCCTTCAAAGACTCACGATTCAAGATGTTGCATGGCTAACTTAGGCCTGATTTGTATGGCGTGGGACCCCATAATGACCTCATTTAAGTCCACATGGGTTCAGCCCAACCTCTGTGAAAAGGCTTGGTCGAATTCACTGCTAAATGCAATAAGCCCCTGAGCACGTCACTATGGGCTCAATATGGGCCCAACATTTGCACTTAAATGATCATTGAATTCAACCATCCTATGAAGACCCAAGGATAATGGACTTAAGTAAGATTAAGCCCATCAGGTAACCAACCATGTAATGGTCTCTTACATTTAATCTCTCAGCCCATAATGATCACAACACTACCCGATAGGGAATGACCTTTCCCCTAGCTGCAAGGTACAGTGTTACACTCACTACTCGGATGGATTTCGGGAGTTAAAATCTTTTGTAAATATTTTTCATAGAACATCATATACACATAAACACACACGCGCACACACACAAAACCAAATCTCAAGTACAGTTGAAATCCACTACCGCAGTTTAGGTTTCCATCAGAGAGAGTGTAAGCCCTATCATTCACTTTGTCCGACAAAGGGGCCGATCCTATCACTTTGATCACCCACTCAGATGAATTCTCAAATTGCCCCAACATACCCTGGTTTTGACCCTCAATGGATCTCACTAATTGGCATATCAAAAACAACACAATCCAACACCTAGCATAGTATCATAATCAAGTCTAGGGGTTATGTATAATTTTCCAGTTTTGCCCACCAATCTCCAAGGTCTTGGGCATAACTAGAAAATGGTCCAGGTTCAAAATAACGAAATAACTAAATAACAAAATTTCAAATAGTTAAAATAATGAAATTATGTAATAAACTTAAAATTTTTAATAAAAGTAGAAAATCATTATAATAGATTTATAATATTTGTATTAATAATAATTTTATAGCTTACAAAATTAATAACAAAATTATGTAATAATAGTATAACTTATAATTTTATGGATTATGAAATTCAATAAATAAGTAATATTGAAATAACTAAATAGTGATATTATTTAAATAGATGAATAATATTGTAAATAACTAATTTTAAATATTTTAGATATAAAAAAATTCATAACTAAATCATGGCCTAAGCTCTCTCCCTTACCCCAAACGAGAACTTTCAAACACTCTTCATTTTAGCCTTTCTTTGTCCCTCATGAAGCCACCTCATCACTCCTTTCCCCTTCTCTCATAATGAAATATTTAAGTTATTTAATTAATTATTATTATTAATTAACATTATTTTATGATATTTCCTTAATTATTTAATTAATTAAATGTATTAGCAATACATTTTTTAACAATATTTATTTAATTAAATGCCATAATTAATAAAAATATTGTTAATTAATGAATTACTAATTAATTATCTCAAAATACCATTAATTAATTAATAGTATTTTCATAAATACTATTTATTAATTAAATAAATATTGTTATTAATAACAAAAAATATCATTAAAAATAATATAATTAATTATGGTATTTATTTATTTTAGGTATTTGGGTAATTTTGTTAAGCTCAGGGGGTATTTTAGTAAATTCTGGTCTAGGGAGACCAAAACAAAATTCTAATATAATGATGGGTATTTTGGGTTAAAAAGATGAAGGGTGGAGACAGATTTGAGTATATATAGTGGTTTTGCATGTACGGACCAATGAGATTGGCTAAAATAGAATCTTTTATATGGAGGGCAAAAATTTTACAAGTTGGGTTTTTAGGCATCTTGAATCGATTGGTGGAGTTAGATTGGCCTAAATAGGCTCGGATTAGGTAGATCTAGAGGGGTAGTGATTTAGTTAGTTTATTAACTTTGAAATAGAATCTTTGTTYGATGGASGGGAAAATGAGGAATTTTTTTGTTGAAATTTAGTAGGGTGGTATTTTTGAGAATTATGGGTTGATTGGTAGGGTCATATTGGMCCAATTATGCCGAGATCARACAAATTTGGAAAGGACTTCATCTAGTCAATGCGAAGCTTTGAAACGRAATCTTGGTGTAATGGAAGGGCAAACAAAGGTATTTTGGGCTGAAATTTTTGTGGGTAGAATTTTTAGGGTGTCTAGGATCTGATGGAAACATCTGATTGATTTTGGAGGGCCAAAATCACAAAAATTTAGGTCAACGAGAGCATTCGAAATGAAATATTTATTTGATGATTGGGTAGATGGGGGAATTTTAGGTTAAAAATTTATGGGTAGATAATTTTGGTGTGTCTAGGGTTCAATTGTATGGTCTAATTGATTCAAAGATGTTAGGATCAAGGAAATTTGGGTTATGGGTGCTTCAGGCTAATGAGAGGGTTCAAAAGGGAATATTGGTTTGATAAAAGAATAAACAGAGGGGAATCTTGGGTTAAAATTTCAGGGCTAGATATTTTAGAAGGTCCTAGGTTTGATGATGATGTTCGGGGAATTTTAGGTACTTCGAAAGGATCAGAACGATYTGATCGGGTGTTCATGGTAAATTGGGGTTTCGACAATGAATTGAACAAAAATTAGGTGCTGACAAAGTGACAATAGGGTTTCTAGAGGTATTGGCCACTTGGATCATTTGGTGGGGTTTGATTGGTCCATAATAGTATAATCAAGGGCATTTAAGAAATGAATATCTTGGCCAATGAAATAACCCAAATTAAAATCTTAGTGTGATGAAAGGTTAAATGGGGGATATCTGTAATGAAATTTTGTGGTAAGGTTTTTAAAAGTATCTTGGGCTCTTTAAAAGCCCATTAACTCTTATTTACAATTCGATTAAAAAATCATGTGCATCGCATGCAAGGGTTCCAACTAATTATGATTATACTTTAAAATTTTCACATGCAATGCACGTGCTGCATTTACTACAAACATTAAAGTTTATTTTTAATTATATTATTATTTTTATTAATTTTAAATTTCTTTCTTAAATATGATATATCTAAAATTTAAATAATTAATATAAAAAAATGCTCACGTATAAACACGTGCCTAATTACTAATTTATTAAAAATTTATATTTTCCATAATCCCTACAATTCTTTACAATGATTTTGATTTAATAAAATAAAAAGATTGACACTTACGTGGCGATGCTATACCAAACACCCTTAAGGTTCTGCAACCTACAATTGACAAGTTGGGCTATCTTGCATTGGAGTTAAAAACCAAGTTCCTAAATGTTAAGAATTTAACACACGCAAATTATTCTTGCAGAAATCAAATATATACGTTGATCAGCAACCAGAACTGTGGGATGTCAAGTCAAATCTTGTAGCCAGTGCCAGCCGCATGGACCACCACCAAAGTCATCATCCTTTCAAATCCAACGAATGCCTCTCTGGCAAATCCTAGCCCTCTACACGTTGGAGCACAAGAAGGTATCAGACAAGTGTTCGACTCAATTGCACAAAAAGCTGAAGACAGTGAATATGCATGACACACAGATCAGACGGTTCATTTAAGTGAGTTTACCTAAATCAGTACACGTGGCAAATTATTTTGTTTTCATTGTATGTGAACGAAAACGGTGGCTTTAACTTTAACTCCACGAGTCGATCGGTTCACCCGTTTTTGCATACGTTGCCTTTAAAACTGAGCTACTGAGCTCCACATGATGTATTAGAAAGTAGAAACACAGCTTCTAAATTTCAAAGAACACCGTTTTGTATATACGACGGTTTGACCAACCATGTGACTAGCGTTTCTCACTTATCTATCTACTAGGATAGGAATAAGACTGTCCATGGGTCGGGTAGACCCGATAGAACCAAACAGAACCAATGCATCACTGCTGCTTACCTCAATTATAACTGTTTCGGTTCTGGGTTTTGACTTCCGAGCCGATTATTATAATATCATGCATATCAGCATATTACCTAGTTTAGTGCTGATTTTCTCATAATATAATGTCCAAATATATCAACTTAACAAATTAATTTGCATGTTTATTGTCAAATTAGAGCTGTAAATTGTAACAGGAAACTGATTGGGTCAAACCCGATCCTGATTAATAATTGGGTCAATTCTAAATGCTGATTCTGTTAGGTTTGGAACTGGTTCTGCACATTTATTTATCACCAGATTCATGATTCATCCCATTGATAGCACTAGATTGGAAGTCCACTACGCTACGGTTACATTACATATTGATAGCACTAGATTGGAAGTCCACTAGATTGGTGTCAGCTTCTTCATGACTACTACTGTAACTTATTATTATTATCCTCCATACCTCCTTTATATAAAGAGCAGCTCAGTTGGAGCATGGATATCAAACCAACCYAAGAACAAAACATAGCCGTTTAAAGTTTAGACACCCAAAGAAAGAGAGAAGAACCCAAACAATCGTTATCCGGCAATGGCGATCCGAAATCATCTCCTGATAATATTAGTTCATCTGTTTCTGTCACCAGTAGTATTCTCCAGTTACATTCCTCCCAACATAAAATTATGGTGCAGGCAGACACCGTACCCGCAACATTGCGAATACTTCATGAATCACAAACATCACTCTTCTGGTGTCAAGTCTAGGTCCGATTTCAAAAAGTTGGCTGTGCGTATCGCTCTGGAGCAAGCTCTCATGGCCACAAGCAACGCCATGTTGCTTGGACCAAAGTGCCGGAATGAGCGGGAGAAGGTGGCGTGGGCTGACTGCCTTGAGCTCTACGACAACACCATAATTCGACTCAATGATACCATCAACTCCAACTACGATGATTACATGACATGGCTTAGCACGGCTCTCACAAACCTCGAGACATGCCGCACTGGATTCGTTGAACTCGGTATTACAGACTACATTTTGCCTCTTATGCCCAACAACGTCTCTGAGTTAATTAGCAATACTCTCGCAGTTAGTAAGCTTCCAACTGGTGAACCAGCAACATACGAAGATGGATCATGGCGGCCTAGCTGGGTGAAAGCCGACGATCAGAAGCTCTTGCAGACAGCTTCTCGGCCGACTTCAGAGGCAGATGTTGTGGTTGCACAAGATGGGACGGGGGACTTCGAGACAGTTAATGAGGCAATGAATGCAGCAGCAAAGCAAAAGAGGAGAGGCAGATTGTTGATTTATGTGAAGGCAGGGACTTACAGAGAGAATGTGCAGATAGGAAAGAAGCTGAAAAATATCATGCTTATTGGTGATGGCATGGGAAAGACTATAATCACCGGAAGCAAGAGCGTCAGGGGAGGCTCTACTACCTTTAGCTCTGCTACCGTTGGTAAGTTCAGACATCCTTAGCTTGCTGCCTTGTTATATTTGACTTTGACAAATTTCCTAACTTTATTCAGAGTCAATGCTTAAGAAAATGTTAGTAGTTAGTATTACTATTAAATGTAGTTGTTACAGTTTCTTCCTAGTATTTATTGTTCAACGCACCACCAACTAGAGAGAGAGAGAGGAGAGAGATGACATCTGCGCCTCACAGAGGACGTCTCAGCATGCATTGGGAATATCTCCCGATACACGGTTGGGATATGCTGTGATGCGCAGATGTGAATTCGAGAGAGAGAGAGAGGCTTCATCTTTGACTTAACTAGAACATGCCTTTTTCCATGCCGATTCAAGTTTCAGCCTGATTAAATTCATGTTGAGTTTGGTTTGAAAATTGGAACCCAAGTTCCACATGACCATCCTTTTATAAAATGAGGTTTGATGATACTTTCCATGCTTTTGGATAATTGGATCTATACAACTAGATTGTAGAGCTGCCAATGGATGGGTTCTGGTTTTGGACAGTGGCCTGTCCCGAAAGACACATCCAAAACCAAACCGATTATTAACATAGGATAATCGGGTCTGCCTGACATTTATAATTACCTATGGTTATAACCATGGTTCTTGCTTAAAGTATTGATACATCTAATGCGCCGGTAGAGATTTATCTGAATGTATCGGTAGCGTTTCATCCTCTTAACCGGTTTAGACCCTCAGGTGTATTGGGAAGTCCCTGATACAATAAAGTCCGATACATATCAGTACTTTTTGATAATATAACATTAATAAATATGACAATTAAATAGTAAACTGATTATATGTCGATGAAACATATATTTTTAACTAACATTATCTTATATAATGTAAATTTAAACTTACAAAATATAACAAAAATTACAAAAAAAAATGAGAACTCTATATGTTATTATATAATGGGTTTGGGTCTTAATCGATTTGGACAAAATATAACATAACCAGAACCGACCTAATCGGTTCAGTCAGTTTGGTTCTATGGTGGACAACTTTACCATATGGTTGAGTTGATTTTAATTCTGGATCCACTTGGAGGTTGTAAAGGTGGCCAAAGTCTACTCCTCTTCATTAACCAATATATATATAACTACTCTGCCTGGCTTAGGCTCTTGAACTAATCCATGTGTTCAGGCTCTCCTCTCAAGTTCATTTAGCCAAGCTTAGGATTGGTTCTTATTCTACACGATACTTTGATATGTAAAGGACTTCTCTAAACCCCTAATTCACAATTATAGCCATGCTTATTTGGGTAGAACCAACTAAAAGAAAAAGATTAAAATGGGTTGGATATAAAGTGGATGATCAACACTCTAACTTGGAATCATGTCATGGAGATACATATTTAGTTCCATCATCCTCAATTATTATTAGGGCAAATTTCTTAAACTATCCTTATGGTTTAGCTAATTGATTAAATATACCCTTATTGTTTGACTATTGTCTAATGCTATTCCTATTGCTTTTGACAATTGACTAGTTCTATCCTTATTATTAGTATCTGTTAATATTTTGTCACATGTGACATATAATTTTTTTAAAACCCAATTTTACCCTTAATCCCTCTCCCTCTCCCTCCTTTTTCTCCTGCTTCACCATCTTCTTCAAGAGAGCCACCAACACCTCTTGCCAATCTGCCAATGAAAACTTAGAAGCTCCACTTTGTGGTGAAGAGAAAATCTGTCTTGATGACAAAATGAGCTAACCCTCTTTTCGTTGGTTCTTTTTGAGCCTCAATCTCACTAGAGACGGCTCCCTATAGAGATAGATCCATTCTATTGGGTTCAAGATGGATGTGGAGGGGTCGGCGGTAATGAAACAGGGGCGAGAGGGAGAAGATGGTGATGAAATAGTTTCCTACTTTCATATCTTGTAAATAGAAGATGAGTGCAACCAAATAGATTTATCAAGTAAAAATAAACAAAAATACCCATCAATAACTGGAGACCTGAAGACGATTGTAACCAGGTGGAGTTTTGTCACCAAACAAAGAAGAATGGAGGTCTATAATTTATACAGACGGAAGCTTTAGCGGTGAGAGATCTGAGTATCTCTCTCAAATCTAAGATGAAATTTATACAGGGGAGGTGGAGAGGGAGAATGAAGAGGGGAAGGGGGTGGAGGAAGAAGATCATCACCACTATTGGAAGTTGCAGCAGAGGTAGTGATTTTGATTGATAAGAGAGAGAGAGAGAGAGAGAGAGAGAGAGAGAGAGAGAGAAAGAGAAGGAGACATCGACAATCTTTCGAAGATCAATGCCAACTACACTGCCTGAACCCCACTCTAGTTTTTGGAGAGAGCATCTCTAGTCCATCCATAGAGGAAATTGACCATTCATGGATGGGTGCAGTATATGTGGCTTCAGACTTATCAGCATTGTAGACGTATGGCTTCAACATTTTCTAAGCATTCGATCGGCCTTGGAAAGACGATGAGCTCCCTATAGAGACAACTCCCCTTTATAGGGTTCAAGCATGGATGTGGAGGGGTCGGCGGTGATGAAACAATGGTAAGAGGGAGAGAGAACGAAGGGGACGGAGAGAACGAAGCAGACGGAGAGAGAGAGAGAGAGAGGTCAGATGTGGAGGGATCCGCCGCTACTGCGATAGTGGTGATGAAAAACAGGGGCGAGAGGGAAAGAGAACGAAGGGGAGAGATAGAGAGAGAGGTTGGATGTGGAGGGATCTACTGCTACTACGATAGTGGTGATGAAAAACATAGGCGAGAGAGAGAGAGAGAATGAAGGGGATGGAGAGACGAGAGATAGAACAAAGGGGGGAGAGAGAGAGAGAGAGAGGATGTGGAGGGATCCGTCGTTGTTGTGACAGTGGTGATGAAATAGGGGCGAGAGGGAGAGAGAATGAAGGGGGAGGAGAGATGGAGAGAGAGAACAAAGGGGACGAAGAGAGAGAGAGAGGGGTCGAATGTGGTGGTATTCGCCGTTGTTGTGGCAGCGGTGATGAAATAGGGGCAAGAGGGAGAGAGAACGAAGGGGACGGAGAGAGAGAGGTCGGATGGATGTGGAGGGGTCCGCTGCTTTGCAATAGCGGCAGTGATGAAACAGGGGGGAGAGGGAGAGAGGACTAAGGGAACGGAGAGAGAGAGAGGACTAAGGGAACGGAGAGAGAGAGAGAGAGAGAGAGAGAGAGACTAGATGTGGAGTGGTCTGCCACTGCAACTTGCAGTAGCGGCAGTGATGAAATAGGGGCGATAGGAAGAGAGAACGATGGGGACGGAGAGAGAGAGAGAGAGAGAGAGAGAGAGAGAGAGAGATGCTAGATGTGGAGTGGTCTGCCACTGCAACTTGCAGCAGCGGTAGTGATGAAATAGGAGCGATAGGAAGAGAGAACGATGGGGACAGAGAGAGAGAGAGAGAGAGAGAGAGAGAGGCTAGTGTTGTTCTCCATCTGTTCAAAGCTCCTCCATATGTACCCACTTCATCTCAAATGAAGGAACCTAGATCTAGACCTGGGCGATGAAGATAAACCGAAGAAGATGAAGAAGAAGCATAGGAGCTTTCAGTTTGACCCACGGGCATTTCAGCCTTTCTGTTAATATTTTAACAATAATGATGATTTTTCGAAACAGTAGAAGTAGCATTAGACAATCAATAGTCAAACAATAGGGTATACTGAATCAATTAACTAAACCATAAGGATAGTTTAAGAAATTTGCCCTTATTATTATTATATGTTATATGAATGTATAGTAAAGATTTCATACATATAATCGGTTTTTATTCAGATCCTATGATGGAGAGCTAATGAATGAGTTTAATCAAAGAAAAGAATGTATCACGGCACAGCGGCACAGACAGTCTCCATTGCGGCATTGCCTGTCAATATGGTTTTGAAAACCGGATCAAACCGTATGGTTGGATTGTTTGACCTGGGAGCCGGTCATGGCTTCAAGTATGGTTTTAGATAAAAAACTATTTGACCAAAGTTTTGATCGAACGGTCAGACCATATGACCCTAGAAACAGTTGTCAATGTGGTTATGTTTCTGGGTCGGTTTTTAAAACCATGCACGTACAACATAAACTGTTATGGTAGAAGTATAATCCACCTCTCTCCTGGTCGCCTATGGAAATGCAGCGGTTTCAGGAGATGGATTTATTGCTCGTGACATTACATTCCAAAACACTGCTGGGCCGGAGAATGGGCAGGCAGTGGCTCTACGCTCCGGGTCGGATCTCTCGGTGTTTTACCGATGTGGCTTTGAAGGATATCAAGACACTCTTTATGTCCATTCTGAAAGGCAATTTTATAGGGAATGTGATATATATGGCACGGTTGATTTTATATTTGGTAACGCAGCCGTTGTCTTCCAGAAGTGCAACATCTATGCTAGGAGGCACAGCATAATCACGGTAACGGCACAGGGTCGGAATGACCCGAACCAGAACAGTGGTATTGTGATACACAATTCTAGAGTAATGGCAGCTTCAGACCTAAAACCAGTACAGAGCTCGGTCAAGGCATACCTTGGGAGGCCATGGAGGCAATATTCTCGAACTGTCTACCTCAAGACATTTCTTGATAGCTTGATCCATCCAGGCGGTTGGTTGGAATGGAATGAAAATTCTGCTCTTAATAAATTGTACTATGGAGAGTACCAGAACACCGGCCCTGGTTCATCGACGGCAAACCGAGTTAAGTGGGGTGGTTATCACATCATAACCACTTTATCCGAAGCATCTACCTTCACCGTGGAGAATTTCCTAGCAGGTGATTCATGGTTACCGGTGACCGGTGTGCCTTTCACTTCCGGCCTATGAATCGGCCGCTTTACAAACCAGTATATATACAAATTACTACCAGTGTGTCTTTAATTTCATGATGTTGTTAGATAAGTAAAACTAATGCCTTCGAAAGGAAAATCATAGTAGGATTCGTAATAAAATGTGACAAGTACAATCTTTATGTTTGTTTCAATGTATTCTTTTTTTTCGTCTCCCAAACGGCAACAGTGCCAAACACCGCTGCAAATTACAGAAACCAATCATTGATGATCACATATATACGCTGATCAACAAGCAGAACTAATGTCAGTAGTGTGGGATGTCAAGTCAAATCTTGTAGTAAGTGCATGGCCGGCCACATGGACCACCACCAAAGTCATCATCCTTTCCAATGCAACGATGCCTCTCTGGCAAATCCTAGCGCTCTACACGTTGGAGCACAAGTAGATCAGACGGTTCATTTAAGTGAAATAATCCAAATCAGTACACGTGGCAAATTATTTTGTTTTCATTCACTATAAGAAAAACGATCTAATCGTCGACTTAGATCTAGACCACTGACTTAAACAGAAAAGATCGCCTGAAGCTGTTCAATCATAAAGTGGCAGTATATCAGAGCCGTCGGCTTAGTGTGAATACAGGTGGCGGTTTTGCGTTTTTAGGCGGCGGTCTGAACTACTAGATCCTTTATGACCCCCACCTAGGTCAATCAAAACTTTGCTTTTGTTTTTAGGTGATGGGCTGAACTACCACCTAGATCCTATTTGACTGTCGCCTTAGGTGGTGGTCTGAACCACCAGTTTATATCCTATTTGACCACCGCCTTAGGTCTTGTTTATGGCTAAGTTGGCATTTGCATGACCGCCCGTTTTGATATTTCATTTTTTTATTTTTATACCAAATTAATTATTTTTTGTACCTATACTTTAGTTCCAACATTCATCAATTTAATATCTGTTTAATACAAAACTCATGGCAATTGATACATAAAAACAATTTATATAAAAATGCAATTTAAAATAAAATCTATTAATTGAATTATTAATTATTATAATATTCAAAACAATTTGTTTAAATACAATATCCACTGACATATAAAAAAGTACAAGGAATTAAAAAACAAATTCTTGAATAATGTAATACATCTTTCAATGCAAATCCACTCAATATAATGATTGAACCTGCAAATCATAGCATATAAACTAGTGGAAACTTATGTGATGCATGAAATTTGCTAAGCGAAAGCTAAATAATAGAAACACATAAAAGTATATAATTGTTTTATATTTTTAACTTTTTAAATAGTTAATACTTACTTATATTTTATATACTATTCTTAATAATTTTTTTATAATACAAAAATAATGATAATTAATTTCAGTTAGGGTTGTTCATCAAATTGATTTAAGTCCGGTCGGCATTACTTCACCAATTTTCCAACCTAAGCAGGTTGGAACAGTTTCACTTTGGCAATTTGTAAATCGACCAAAATCGATTGACTTGACCACACACACACATTTTATATTTTTAATATAATTTTTAATATGGGAAGTAGGAAAATTCCCAAATTTCTTAGTCTAAAATATTTTATATCATAAATTTAAATTTTAAATTTAGTTTTTTAAAATATGCCATTATAGTTTTTTTTTTTAGTTTAAATCTTTTCAATTGACCAACAAACCGAAAATTGACATAAACCGATACAACCCGAGTTGGTTGATTTTCACTAATGGTTAGTTGGTTTCGGGTGACCAACTCCCCAACCTGACCAAGTCAATTTGGTTGGCCAAACAACCTATAACTGAGTCGAACCAACTCATGAACACTCTTAATTTCAGTTAAGTTAATAGTCTAATCTCTAATAAATAACAATAGTATAATCTCCAATAATTATTGAAAATTTATAGAAAAAATACACAATTATTGAAAATATATCAATAATGAAAATTCAATAAATAAATAATAAAAATTCAATACATACAATAATTACAAAAATATAATAAATACTAAAAATTATATTAAATTAGTAAAGAAATAGTGTAATTTCAAATAATAGTTTAATCTCTAATGAATATTAATCAATAAATTATAATAAAAATACAATAAGTACAATAAATTAAATTTAAAAAGTTAAATAACAGTAGTTTAATTTCCAATAATTATTGAAAATTTTCTATTAAATAAAAAATAAAAAATAACTTATACTTAATTATTGAAAATACATTTATCAAAAAAACAATAAATAATTAATAAAAATACAATAAATATTAGTTATAGTATAGATAAATATATTTTACGATTTTCAAATTATTATTAATAATTAATAATTTTTTTGAAAGTTATTTTTCAAGAATTATTAATTGATATAAGTGAAATTAGTTATTTAAATATTATCATTATTTAAAATTTTAAAATACTAATTATCTATTGTATTTAATAATCCATAAAATTAGAATTTATACTATTATTACATAATTATTTTGTTAATTTTGTACATTTTTAAATTATTATTAATTTGAATATTATGTTATAATTATCTTTCTACTTTTAAGAAATGTTTTGAATGTATTACATAATTCCTTTATTTTAATATTTAAAATCCAGTTATGTTAAATATTTCATTATTTAAAATAGTTATTTATTTAAATATTGAAATAATATATAAAATATTTAAAAATTTTCATTATTTGAAGTTTATTTATTTTAAAGTAATTACATAACATTAATTACTTTGTTATATAATTATTTAGCTATTTTTAGTATTTTGTTATTTAAGATATTTAGTTGCTAAATATTTAAATAACATTTTAATTTTTATTGTTAATTTTTTATTTTTATTATTTTAATAACATTTAAGTTGAATAATCTGAAAATCATAATTTATAATGTTAGTACATAATTTCATGATAAATTTTGTAAAAATATAAAATTATTAATAAATTGAATATTAATAAATCTATTATATTTATTCTTTTATGTTTTCAATAAATATTTTAAAGTTATTATATATTTTCGTTAGAATATTTAAATATTTTTAAAATTTTTAATTCAAACTTTCTTTAGAGAGATATGGATAAAAAGTGGGGGAGAGTAAAAATATGAAGGAAATAAATAGGAATTAGTGATAATTCCGAGGATAAGTAGGAACTAGCCGAGGGCCCCTGCTTCATTGGGGCTGGATTGAAATTGTAACATTGCTATTTCCTACATTAAAAAAGACAATGGTTTCTTAATAAAGAAATCATCAAGAAGTCCCAATGAAGTCCTAGTTGACCCAGATTGTAGGATTGTTGGCCTGGGAACCATCTAGGCAATTAGTTCTGTTTTACCCCAAACCTGGTCCATCACCAAAAATCGTTGAATCAATCAACGACCCATTGACCTAGGTGGTCAAATTGTCGACCCGTTCAATGGTTTTTGGCCATTTTTTATTTTTAATTATTTTTTTAATTTTTTGTCAGAACGGGTCGTTTGTTCGAACGGGATGGTCGAACCGTTGACCTAGAAACTGATGGCCAGAACGGTTCCATTTCTGGGTCATTTTTTCTAGATGTCAATAATTAGATGAAATAACTTTGCAATCATAATCATGAGAAGGGTGGACATTGCCAGGGATTCCAAAACCTTGAAAGATAAATCCAAAGTGACCTTAAACACAGAAAAAAATTGGTGATAAATCCACCAAACTAGAAAAACCAAGGAAAAAAATCAGAAAATCGAGTCCAAAGTTTTTCTTTAAAACGGAGCTAAACATAAATGCAATCAAACAAAGAGAAAAAGCAAATTGTCTTGTAAAAAAAAACATTGCACAAGAAAACCCAAAGAAAAACAAAAGGGAAGAAATAAAATGGTGGTAAACCCTAGACTGTTTTGGAGGACTTTGAAGAAGAAGACCAAACACAAAACAAAAAAAAAACAAAAAATGAAAAAAAAGGAACATACCACACACGCTTGAATAAAGCCCACAATAGAAGAAACCTTTGAATAATAAAAATCTAAAAGCATAAAAAACCATGGCTTTCGAACTGCCGTTGACCCAAACGGTTGGACATTTCGTCCAAGGAACCACCCAGGCAACCGGTTCCATTTTACCCCAATCCTAGTCCTTGGCCAACAACCGTTGAATCGGTCAACGATCCATTCACCTGGGCGATCAAACCGTCAATCTGTTCAATGTTTTGTGGCCATTTTTTTATTTTTTAATTTTTGTTATCAGAACAAGCCATCCATTCAAACTAGATGGTCGATCCATCGACCCGGAAACCAATGGCCAAAACGGTTCCATTTTCGGGTCGTATGAGTCACATGCTCGAATGACATAACACGTATGATATTGCTTAACGAACCTCACCCAATTTTTTGCCTATAATTTTTGTTGTCAAAATGGGTTGTCCATTCGAATTGAATAGTCAAACTGTCAACCCGAAAACCAATGGCCAGAGTGGYTTTGTAATTTTTTTCCTATAATTTTTGTTGTTAGAATGGGTCATCCATTTGAACTGGACGGTCAAACCATCGACCCAAAAATCGATGGCCAGAATTGTTCTGTTTTCGAGTCGTATGAGTCACAATATTGTGAATAACTAATTTCACTTATATCAATTAATAATTATAGAAAATAACTTTAAAAGATAATATTTATTAGTAATAATTTTATAATAATAGTGGATATTCATTATATATTTATATATAGTAAATTTAATATTTATTTTATTTTCAATAATTAATTATTTTACCTTTTTGATAGATATGTTTTCAATAATTATTTATTAATTTGTTTTTGTTTTGTTATTCAATAGTAATTTTTTAATAATTATTGGAGATTAAACGACTATTATTTAACTTTTGAAATTTAATTTATGTATCTTTTATAATTGATTGAGTATTATTTATTAAAGATTAAACTATTATTTGAGATCACACTATTTATTGGCTAATTTAATATATTTTTAGTGTTTATTGTATTTTTGTGATTATTGTATTTTTATTAGATATCTATTGTATTTTCATTATAAATTGATTTTCAATAATTGTGTATTTTTGCCATAAAATTTCAATAGTTATTGGAGATTAAACTATTGTTATTTATTAGAGAATAGACTATTAATTTAGCTGAAATTAGGAGTGTTCAAGAATTGGTTAAGTTTGGTTGTAGGCTATTTCACCAATCAAATCAACTTGGTCAGGTCGAGAGTTTGTCACCCAAAACTTATTAACCATTAGTGAAAACCTACCAACTCGAGTTGTATTCATTTGGGCCTATTTTTGGTTTGGTTTGTTTGTTCAAAAGATTTAAAGTTAAAAATTAAATTTAAATTTAATAAATTACAATGCTATTATAAAAAAATAAATTAGACTAAGTGGAACCAGTTCAGAACCGATAGTAATAAGGACCCTATATTAGGACCCGAAACCGACCCGTTGGTTCTAGTTCCCAAAACTAGAACCGGTCCAATTGGCTTGGGTCATTCGGGTCAAACCCGACCCATTGACAACCCTAAGAAAACTGACCAACTCGGGTCAAGTTTGATATGATTGATTATTAAAAAGTTAAAATATAAAACAATCATATAATCCTATGTATTTCTATTGTTTAACTTTCACTTAACAAAGCTCATGCATCACACAACCAATCCACATCACAACAGCAATGCACAGCCAACCCATTCCCACAGTCTAATTGCAACATAATCAACCCATTCCCACCCCTTCCACATCACAATAGCAAGGCACAACCAATCCTACAATTACAACCCATACACTTAGCCCTCCCATTACATACACTACACTATCCTCAGTCTTAACCCTCCACACATTCCCACACCACAAGTCCAACCCAATCAAACCTTTACCACCGCACAAATATCCCAAGATAACCTTGAACACGTCGTTACTAAACTCGTTGCCAAACAATTGGATGATCATAACGCTAGTTTCCCAAACGCTCTTGTTACATGAACTATGCTCTTTACCCTTTCTCGAAYCCATCACCTTTGGTCCCCCCCAACTGTATCACCCCTCAATTCACCTTATATGACGGCACCGGAAAGCCCCGCACCCAACAAAAATCTTTCCTAATTCAATGTGTTAGTATTCAACATAATGATATCCTCCCCTCTAACAATTCTTTCCACACAGCTTTACTGAACTCACACTCGCATGGTTCACAGACCTTTGTGTTGGATTTTAATTTCATAAGAGATTAAATTCAATGGGTTTGATTGGTCAATTACACGAGAAATTGCAYCTGTACACTTGATTGAAAAATTAGCTTTTCTCTTACAAAACTCAGTTTAGAACTTATCCCACATTGGAAAATTATAAGCTTTGTTTTCAGTATTTTAATAGGAGTTGATTTACACTCCTTAGAAATAGTAGATGAGAGTATGGGGGTTTGATACCACGCAACGCGCGTGTGCGCGACGCAATGAGGTGCACTTTGCTTGCACTTCGCGTGGCTCGTGAAGGGCGGCTTTGGTTTTGGTGCAATGCTGATTGTTGATCACCGTTAATGAGATCAACGGTCACGATTCGATCGGGTGTGATCAAGAGGCACAATTCAAAGTTAACGGTCATTAACCGTTAACTACTTTTTAAATAGTCACAATTTCAAACTATTCAAGGTGTCTTATCTGAACCAATACCTACCTTTTCTTCATACCTCTTCATAAACTATTTAAGGAGCATGAATCAGACTTCAAAACACACATTTTCGAAATCCACTTTTTTTTTTTTCTCTCTCTCTCTCTGCAGATTCTCGCCCAAAGCTTTGTTGTATCTTAGGAACGGATTTGCCTGTAACACAACAGCAAAGTTAGTGAAACTGAGTGGAGGCAAATAACATTCTAAAGACAGTATCATCAGACGCACCTTAAAGCTTTTCCTCCAAAATTACAGTGACCACATTTTCTAACACTTTATTAGTCTATCTCCTTGTTCCTTCAATTATCCTACATTTTTTTAAACCAATTTACCTAACACTTAAAAATGAAGTAACCTTAGATGACGTATCCAACATGAAACAATAACACGATGAAACCTTTACCCAATTCTACAATAATTAGAGAACTTACCAGCCAATCACTAGGTCACTAACCCAAACATTTTTTGGTTTCCACCTTCATTTGAGCCATTGTACCAGAATTCATAACATGGATCAACACAGTTCACTTATAAACCTACATACTCAACTACAACAAGAAAGGAAGCCCCCTAAAATACTTAACTACATTGATCTTTTCCAAGTCCTCCTTACCCAAAACATGATCCAACACCCACGCATCAAATCCGACGCTCCCAAACACACGCGAAGACCAGTTCTGCCACTTTCATCAAACACCCGATCATCTCGTAGGAAAGYGTAATGCTTTATATACTTCTTCGTTAATTGCCTTTGGATGTCCCCCACATCAGATAGATTCTTTTCCCTTCATAGGGGGCTAGAGCACTTTTTTTGGTTTCGAAATAAATATAAACGAGATTGCTACCACTTCGATAATGGGGGTGTAGTTGAGACTGAATGGTTTTCGAAGCACAGAGCCAGTGTTCAGGAGTACTCGATCGGACACCATGGGATCCTACGTTCTCCCTCTCCTTCTTCTACCATTCAATCCTATGAATCCGCAAGTCGTGTTTCTCAGGTYGCTTCAGAAGATCATTTGCTATCACCTAGAGAGTAGAAGGTTGGAGGTGGTTCATGATTTTTCAAGCTAAGGTGATCCACTAGATCACATCTTACGTATTGTCCGCTTGGCCCCCTGTTCCTTAATTCTATTTCAACCATCAAAAATATCACATCCATGAAAATATCCTTATACTACTGGAAGGCATGTGTTGCGCAAGTAAATAGCATTGCTCRTATATTGCACAAATCAACGCAATAGTTGTTACTTACCATTGTTATAAAACTCAGCGAGTCGACTCGCTGATCGGCCGATCCACTCGGTTTGTTTAAATATTTCTATAATCATGTTCTTTCTTAATGATTTTCTACTTAGAATCATTTGATGAATGTGTTTAAGGTACCTTGGAACTATGTGAAACAGGCCGTACCGATGAACAGGAAGAGATAGAAGAGTGCACCGGGATTAAATATGGCGGGTATAAAACATTGTATCAGTTTGAATGGTTTTCGATTTGGTTGRTTGGTTCAAAAGATTCAAATTTAAAAAATTAAATTTAATTTAAAAAATTATAATGGTCGATGTTTCCATTTTTTATATTAAAAATTATATTTAAAATATAAAATATATATATATATATTATAAATTATTTTAAAACTGGGAATGTCAAAATCATGGATCACATTAAGGGGACCGTGTTAGCCAAATCCAAGTGCTTGTCATATCCTGACCTGATCGACTACTTAATTTTTTATAAATTGAACGTCTGAACAGTTGCTTGGATGGATGATGGCTGTCGGTGTAATTAATCTTCTAGGCGGTAGAAACTGACTATAATCTCGTCCTAAATAATGAAAAAGAAACATAGCTCTACATAAATCAACTGCAGGAGAATTAGATAGAGTTATATACAAATATAGAGCAGTTGGCAGATTAACCAACCAGACATATATACCGGTCTGTTCATATACTAAGCATTCTCCAAGTAATCTGAACATCAATTAGCTTCACGATAGACATGTCTAACTTGTACTTGGGAAAGTTGGCCTAGTAGTTCTATGATGTGTCAAAGATTTATAGAACGAAATCTCCCTCATTCTTGACTTTTGACATTTGGATCAGTTTGAACAGGGGAGAAGGTTTTCTGACTTTTCTCAAATGGTTGGGACATCAACAATCGATTAAGAACAGAGAGAGTTATTAGAGGTGTAATGTGGGCCGCCGGGCCACCAAGGACCACTTTTTCAGGTCGCTGTGCCGGGCCATCAAGGACCACTTTTGCAAGTCGCTCACACTGTATTGGACCATGTCTGCTTGGAACCCCTCAAAAGGGAAACACAGCACGAGCCTAGGTGGGCACAAATTAAAAGAATCTTAAAAGTAATTAAAAGAATCAGCACGGCCCAGTTGCCATATTGACCAGAAATTGGTCATTCTCACTAAAGCATAATTAATTGTTTAAATTAGATATAAACAAAAAAGTAATGCGTGAATTGGACTTAAATGACCATTAATTAATTGAAAATATCTAAATTAATGGTAGATTAGGGATTTCTTACACTTCCTATGCTGTCCAAACACCGTGTGAGAACATGGTGCAGCCAAACATATTGATTTCTTACACTCCCTCGTATCTCCTCTATATAAAGGGCTCCCATGAGAGGCATGAGCTCCAAGCAAACCCATCAAGAAAGGAACGTCATGGCGCTCCATGAGTTCCTAACACTTGTAATATTGATTTCTCTCCTTGTTTCTCCGTCGTTCTCCGACAACATTCCTCCAAACATAAGAACATGGTGCAGCCAAACATCCTATCCCCAGTCTTGTGAGTACTACATGGGTCACCACCCTCATTCTTCCTTCCTCTCAGGTCATTTAGATTCCAAGAAATTGGCAATGCAAATTGCCTTGGACCAAGCAATCCAGGCTGAAAGCAACAACATGTTGCTTGGGCCCAAGTGCCGCAATGAGCGTGAGAAGGCCGCATGGACAGACTGCATCGAGCTCTACAAGAACACCATAGCTCGACTTAACCTCACTGTCAACCCGGGCGCCAAGTGCACTGATGTTGATTTGCAAACATGGCTGAGCACAGCTCTGACCAACCTTGAGACATGCCGCACCGGTTTCGTGGAGCTCGGTGTCTCCGACTACATCTTGCCTCTTATGTCCAACAATGTCTCCAAGTTAATTAGTAACATCCTTGCAATTAACAAGCCAGTAGCTCTGCCTAATGAACAAACATATCACGAAGGTTTCCCTACCTGGGTATCGCCCCGAGATCGAAAGCTCTTGCAGGCAACTGCTCTGGCTTCACGGGCAATTCTTGTGGTGGCACAAGATGGGTCAGGGAACTTCAAGACAATCAACGAGGCAATCAACGCGGCGGCCAAGCAGAACACGGGCGGCCGGTTTGTGATACAAGTGAAGGCAGGGACTTATGCAGAGCATTTGCACATAGGAAGCCCAAATTTGATGCTTGTTGGTGATGGCATAGGAAACACTGTAATCACCGGAAGCATGAGCGTTGGGGGAGGCTCCACCACTTTCAATTCTGCTACAGTTGGTGAGTTCAATGAGCTTTTATTTAAAATTATTGGGCTTAAGACACAACTTATGTTGAGTTCATCTTTTCTTGCTTAGAGGTAGAGCTAAGGCTTCAACTGAAATAAACCCATCCTCTCCTTTAGACAGTGTTTGACATGTCATTCCACGTGGCCTTCTGGGCTTTGACAAGTTCGAAAGACCAAAAATCAGTTTTTTTTTTGTTTTCTTTTGGTAACCAAAAGCTGAAAAGAATAGAAGATGTGTGTGCGGAAAAACCTAAAAAGACCAAAAATACCGAATTTTGAAAAGCTTCAAATAAAACTTTTTGGTCTTTCTGTGTGATGGATAGATAGCCTCTATACTTGTTTTAAAAGTCCTGCACTAAGCGGCTTACCAAATGATCTTTGTTTTTAATGACAAAACCCCCTAAGTTTAATTTATCTTTTAACCATCTGGGTGCTGGAAAATATTTTTAAAAAGACTTGTCAAACACACCTTAATAAAGTTAATTATCAATAGTTTATTTACCCCTTTTGGCAGAATTATCATAAGGTGCCCCGGTTACAAGTCGCCTTCGGTTAACATAACATGTTAAGGACTTCCTTTCCGTTGTTAAAAATTCATTTTAACTGCAAAAAGTAATTAAGTCCTTGAAATAAGGAATGCCAAATGCAGCCTAAGTGGTCCTGGACTTAATTTAAGTGGATCTTTCTTGGTTTCATTTTCATATCCATTTACTTCATTGATTTATATGGGTCCTCTTTTGTCGATATGGTCCACCACGTTGAGTCGTCATGGATTGCAATGGGGTCGTAATTTGGACTGATCACCTAACCTTCCAACCCTGCGTGTTACTGGGGTACAAACACTTGGCTAATACTCAAGGGGTTCACCTTTAGTCCGGATCGGGCAGTTCCAAATCCGACCTACATAATATATGGGTTTCTTAATAAAAGATAATGATCTATTGTTTCAAAATGATGGACGTTGGATTTCAGCGGTCGTGGGAGATGGATTCATCGCTCGTGACATCACATTCCGGAACACCGCTGGGCCGGGAAAGGGGCAGGCAGTGGCGCTCCGCTCGGGATCTGACCTCTCCGTATTCTACCGATGTAGTTTCGAAGGATATCAAGACACTCTCTACGTCCACTCTGAGAGACAATTCTACAGAGAATGTGCAATCTACGGCACAGTGGATTTCATCTTTGGAAACGCAGCCGTTGTGCTACAGAACTGTAACATCTTTTCCAGAAAGCCCATCAACGGCGTAGTCACAGTAACGGCACAAGGTCGAATTGACCCCAACCAGAACACCGGAATTGTGATACACACTTCTCAGATAACAGCCGCTTCCGACCTAAAGCCAGTGCAGAGCTCAGTAAAGGCATACCTCGGAAGGCCATGGAGGCAGTATTCTCGAACTGTTATCCTCAAGTCATTTCTGGATAACCTGATCCAACCCGTCGGTTGGTTGGAATGGAGTGGAAGTTTTGGTCTCAATACGTTGTATTATGGGGAGTACCAGAACACAGGCCCCGGTTCGTCCACAGCCAACCGAGTGAAATGGGGTGGTTATCGTGTCATAACCAGCGTAGCTGAAGCATCCAAGTTCACCGTAGGAAACTTCATTGCTGGTAGTTCATGGCTACCAGCCTCCAATGTGCCTTTCACTTCCGGCCTCTGAATTTCTCCAGCGAGAGCAAGTGGACGGCCATCGGAAACCAATATTTAGAAACCAATTAATTACGAGATTATAATAAGTGGAAATCACAACTCTTCAAAGTGATTATTAAAACTGGCTCAACAGCATATTGATGATGAAGTGCAGACTGGAGCAAATTCTCTATCAACTAGAGTTTTAATTTCCTCCTTAATTTATATGAATTAATTGCTACAGCTTGTGAGACTACCAATAATGTTTAGTATTAATTTTCTTAAATGTAAAGATGTTTTAGTTTTCAATCCTTGCTCGTATGGATCTMTTCTTTATCCTTAATTTATGAAACAAACTGACTAATTAATAATAGTCTAATACAAAGATGTGCATCTTCCAAAAAGTGGGAGCAAAAGTCAAAACAAATCAATTTCGAGATTGATTTTCAATTTTCTTTTGGGGGCAATTCAATTTTCATGAACATGGACATAGTGCCTTTTTGGAGTTTATTTATTATTTTTATAGATATTGCAGGTAGGAAAATGGTCCTATATCGATCTACTTATCTATGTTTAAAATCTATACCTTTGAAATTATTGAGTATAGTAAGTGAACTTTAATGGTGAGAATAAAAAATATCTCAAATATTAGATTTAATGAGAGAACGGGAGTTAATGCATTGAGAGAAATAAAATGGATTTATTGGGGCATTTCAAATTAAGATTTCTACCCAAAAATAGGGGTCTTTAGACTTTGTTATAGATTATCATTAAATTTTTAATATTGTTTTGGTGGTCAGTAGGAATTTGGATTTGGGCCTAGTAAATTCTGATCTGGGCTGATCGGTACTTCTCCCTAAATTTTAATGGGTAAACCAACTTAAAAAAGCGGGGTTATGATTTCAAGAATTGTGCTTTTTAAATATTTCGCGATTTTTTCATGTTTTCCATTTCTTCCGTTGAAACTAGTGGATAAATCTATGTTGTGAATTGTGGTTTCAAGAAAAAATTCGTACAATTGACAAAATAGTTCAATAATATTATTTTCTTACAACAAAAATACATTAATATAGTTTCGGTTGTACAGTGTTTCTCTATTTCTCCAAATTAAAACCGGCAATGGAATCTTGCCTATCTTGTTTCAAACATGAATTGATGATTTTAGATTATAGTCCAAAGCATGCACATTTCAAAATTATCTCTCTCTCTCATCCACGTTAATAAGTCTACATTAATACTTGCAGCAAAAAAAAAAAAAATGTATACATTAATATGGACCGATGGCCATACAATCAGCCATCTGGTTTTTGTCACCGTGGTTCAGAACAGGGGGGTGCAAGTTAGATATCCAATTTGAAGAATTTACACTATATTGGGCCCAGGTTTTTGGGTGGGTCCATTGAAATTTTAGCAATTTTTCAACTCAAGCCTACTCAAGTTGCAGATCTAATTTAGAATTTACGATTTTTTTTTTCTTCTTGTTGAGAAACTTGGGTTTAAAAATCCATGATACCAAAATCATCATTTAGTTTAATGAATGAGTAGTTCCACCCTTTTCCAAATCACATATGTCAATGTTATGAGTATCTAAAGCAATCAACCTTCCATTTTATTTTTAGTTAAAAATCCTAAAGCATAGCTTGATTTGCAATGTGGATCAGAGTTCTGCATTAATTAGTTTTTGAAGTTAAACGAACATTATCTGAATTTACCAATTCAAAATTCTCTCTCCTGCATTTCTGTGTGCGTGTATGTTAATGTAGACAACTAGACATTGCAGCCAACCAGATCAATATTGCCGAATAAGCCTAGTATTTTTGGTAATGAGTCTAGTATTCTTAGTAAGGCATCATACGTTTTTTTGGTATTCGGTGCCATGCACCATTAATAACTTCTCCTTATCCTTTTTTTCTGCTGGAAAAAACCAGTTAATACACCAAGGAGCTAGCCTTCGGTTAGTTGTAAAGCATCATACTAACTCTATATACATGATGCATTATCTTTTCAGGACATCATTTTAACATATTGTTAGAGAATAAATATCTATTTAGAGACCTCACCTAATAGTTTAAGCTTTTAGATTGAATATTTAATCAAGTTCAATTGTCGCCACCTCATTATATATACTTAATTAAATTTCAGCACAATGTATGGTGGGTCTGTACTTATATTTCAAGCCCAATGGATTTTTTCATGAGGGGGCATGTTAGAGAATATATTTATTTAGGGATCTCACCAAACAGATTAAGCTTTTAGGTTGAATTGCAGTGAAGCTCACCTCACATTTCATTATATCATTAATCGTCATTAACTATCTTTCATCAAATGACATTTTCATATTTATAAATGAGCATTAAAATTCAGAATTTTATGTTTTTCTTTTTATCTTTTGGTATTACATTTTACACATCATAAGGACATGAAGCCCATTGACTATACCACTAAGAACCTGTGCCTTTTATTTGGAGGGTGCCAAGTCACCATCTTGACAACTGAGTCATAGGCGCTGGTCCTACATTCTTTTTCCTCTCTCTCTCTCTTTTAACTTTCTCCTTTTCTTTTCTTTTTCCACCAATCATTCTCAGGTCTAAATATTTTGCACATGCTGTGCTGCAAAACGAGCTCCCTTAATGATCGACTAGTCTTACTCATGACAAGTTAGTTTGTAGATCAAAAGAAACCTCCATAATCCTCTCCCAATCCTTTTATATTGATATTTGCTTTGGCTTTATGCCCACATCACCATGTGAAAATCTAACCCATTTAATACAAATCCGTTCTTATAAAGTTAAAATAAAAAAAAAAACTAAATATTAATTGTGCAGAGGGTTTGGGCTCAACTCCTGGAGGTCTGCCAATTGGGCCTCGCTAAATGACCCAGGGATCTTCGAAGTGGCAATGTCATTGAGACTCTAAAACTAAAGCAACCCCAGATGTTCTCTATTTGAAATGATTCGAACACAATTTTAAGACAGCTGTAAATATCATATTTCATCCATATAGCATTTGCCATGTGTTAATATATTCTTCTTTTGGGGCATATTTTCTAATTAAAATTATGACTTTGTAGGGTTAATATTTGTTGGAAAAACATGGCAGAGGATGGCTGAAAATACAAATTTTTCTCTTTTTTTTTTGGGAATTGCTGTCTTCTAGCATATATTTAACCAAGATAATCAGAGATCGATGTATACCTAGTTAACCAAAAGTTCCAGCATTGAGTCCAAGTTATTGATTAAAGCTAATAATCAAGGGGGCATTCTACACGATGAATTGTTTTTTCTTTTTGCTAGTTTCAAGAACAAATTAAAGCCATCTGGTTTCAAAAGAGATTGTTTCTCAAAATAAAAACATGTTCGTGTATGTGTGTTTTGCAAGGTTCGTACAGTGAATCGGTCAGGGGTTCAGTTCTTGGGTTGAACTGTCTGATGGTTCGTACCAAATGGTTGACTCATTATGACAAAAAAGTTAAAATAAATAAAAACGGTCAAAACCATTAAAGGGTTTGARTGGTTTTACCGCACATGTCAGCGGTTTGTTGACTAAATCAACGTTTTTGGTAAAAATCCAATTTTGGGGAAAAATGGAACCAATCACCTGACTTATTCCCAGTTTTCCAGTCCGACTGTCCGATCCGGTTTTGAAAACCGTGGTTTTTTATTTTCAAGACTGAAATAAAAAACATGCTCTTGAGTTTCTATTTCTAGTTTCAAAAGAATGTTTTCATCTGTTTTAATTAATATCACATCCCATGAACCATATAATTTTTATACTAAAAAATCTGTTTTTTGATGGTTCCAAAAACGTGTATTTTTGTTTTTTTTTGTTTTTGTTAATGTGGCAGGGACATTTTACGATATGAATATTTTTGTTTTCATTTGTTTTTGAAATTGCGACACCATAAAAATATATTCTTGAACTGTGTTTTTTATTTTGAAAAACAAAAATAAATTGATTTTATTTTGAAAAAACAACGCATGTTTTATATTAAAGAGCAAGATGAAAACAGAATGCATGTTTTTTTTGTTGTTTCAAATTTGGAAAGCCAAAAACATATAATAATCAAAAACATGTTTTCAGTGTTTGTGTTTTATGAACCATTTTTTTTTTTCAAACCAGTTGATTTTGCTTTATTTTTTAAACTAGAAACAAGAAAAATTCACAAAACAAATAGTTGGCAGGTAAGTATCAAGTTTCAAAATTAAGTCAGAAAGGTAACTACCGAGTTTCCAATTTTGAGCAGGAACTACAACGGTTAATCTCAACCTTATGAATAAGACAGCGTTAGTTCAACTAATGCCTTGACATTATTGGCCTCATCCTCAAATGAACACAAACTTAAAAAGCAAGGACATATGATAGAATATGAAACCGAATCAGCCCCCCACAMWACTGTCCCTCACAACGTCTCACAGCACATCCGTGCCGTGTATTAGAAATATCTTTCGATGATAACATTACTCTAGGACGTTGTGAGGGACAGTTTTGTGGGAAGCTGATTTGAACTCCAAGAATTTGTTTTTGTTTTGTAGACCGCCCTATTAAATTATTATTGACAAAATAAAGGGTTTTGGATAATTACCCTACTTTTATCATATATCCCACATGATAGTTTTTTTAATATTAAAAAGAAAAATGAAATATAAAAAGAAGACGAGCAATCCGACCAAACTCCATACGGAATGCTAACACTGCACAAACAGGGCATAACCCACCACAACACAGCATTCGGTCCACAAAACAAAACTTACCTAGACACTCCAAGAAAAGTGGGCCCCCTGTTAAATTTTATCATTAACTATTTTAGGGTGTGCAGGATAGTAGTAGTAGTACCATTTACAAATTCTTTGACAATTAATTAACCAAGTTTTGAACAAGTTAGGGATGGAGAAATTAAGCACCTAGCTTCTTCCTCTTGTTGCAGCACTTGAGTAAGCCAATGTCGTGGAAATCGTTGATTTCTTTAATTGCTTGATGTAGATCTATTTCAATGGAGACCTTGCTTAGCCTCTTTCCAATAAATCCACAATTAAATGTTGGGATGGGATAATATTCAAGGTTTGGTGCAATGGTCCAGGTTTAGAACAAGAAATTGTTATGGCGCTTAATTAGGTTTTGGCCACTTTTGACCGAACCTTTTCAGTCCGATTGATTTTTCAATAATTTAGGTTTGGATTTTTCTATTTGATGTGGGTTTGGTCAAGGTGTTGCTTAAATAGGAAAAGGACAAGTACAATTCAAATTATCCTTTATCTAATCCTACTTACTTTTTCAAGCTATATATTACAAGGTTTTAAAAATCGGATTGG